TAGTGTAGTTTTTAATAACATTGTTGAAATATTAGTGTAGTTTTTAAGAACATTGTTGAAATATTAGTGTAGTTTTTAAGAACATTGTTGGAAATATTAGTGTAGATTTCATGTTTTGCTGTTTTAAATGACTTTTCCCTCCAATTTCAACAGGAGTCGCTCCCGCAGTTATTCCCGTTCCAGGAGCCGCTCCAGGAGCCGCAGTCGCTCCAGGAGCAGCTCCAGGTCCCGGAGCCGCACCCCAGAAAGGAAGAAGACCTCTGGAGGCAGCAAGCCCACAGCCAGATCCCCGTCTCGCTCCAAGTCTCGCTCCAAGTCTCGCTCCAAGTCTCGCTCCAAGTCTCGCTCCAAGTCCCGCTCCAAGTCCCGCTCCAAGTCCCGCTCCAAGTCCCGCTCCAAGTCCCGCTCCAAGTCCCCTTCTAAGTCCCCTTCTAAGTCCCGCTCTAAGTCCCGCTCCAAGTCTCGTTCACCTGCTCCTGCTCCAAATGAAGTGTCTGGTTCCAGATCCCGCTCTCGATCCAGATCTGGGTCCGGCTCCCGCTCCGCCTCAGCTGATAGTAAACACTAAGCTGGCTGCAGCCGTGGGTCAGAACCTGGATTTAAATTTGTTCTGGGTTGGCCCAGCAGGTGAGACAGGGTGAACAGGACAAAACCTTTGGTCAGGAGTAGGTGTGTAAAAGTTTAAGTGGGACTTTTTTTTTTGTTGTAATTCTTAGCTTTAATTTTTACGTCCACAGAAGTAAAATTCAGTAAAAAAAAAAAAAGTAAAAAAAAAAAACATTAAAATTTGACTTTACTGTAGTGGTGTCGCAGTACAGCTTAGTTTTTTTATTCCTCATCTTTTGTTCCTTGTTGAATCCTTACAGGCAAAACAAATTAATTTCTTTTCTTCTTTTTTTGTTGAAATTATGCTTCTGATGAGGCCCTTGTATATTTTAAGTTGAATTGATGTTTGATTATAAAATCTTTTTTTTTTTTTCAGAAAGTCACTGTTTGGAAATCTAGGATTATTTTTACAAAATGTCTTGTCTGGGTTTGTTACTAACAAAAGCAGACTACTTTCTTTTTTTTTGTTGTTTTGTGAAAAAATGTAAATGTGTGTTTGTGTCATGCACATTTTCATAAAATAAAGTATTTAAACTCAAATTCTTGATTAACTTTGAAATTTGTCACAAATGTACATGCAAAGGTGTGAAAATTAGTGCCCAGGTACTCATACCCATGGTTTGCTGGGAACGCATGGCAGAAGAACCCATTAGAAAAATCTTCAACTTGCACCTCCGGGAGAGCTTTAACCGCATGCCCACTGAGGCGGGGGGCATTGAATCTGAGTGGGCCATATTCCGTGTCTCAGTTGTTGAGGTAGCTGCCTTGAGCTGTGGCTGCAAGGTTGGTGCTCCTTGCGTTAGCCATCCTCGAACTCGGTGGTGGACACCCCGGGTTAGGGAGGCTATCAAGCTGAAGGAGGAGTCCTATCAGGCCTTGTTGGCTGGTGGGACTGGAGGCTGCTGGGGATGAGATTCACCCTGATTTCCTTAAGGCTCTGGATGTTGTGGGGTTGTCTTGGTTGACACTCCTTTGCAAAGTCAATTGGACATGAGGACAGTGCCACTGGATTGGCAGGTTCCCCTCTTCAAAAAGGGGGACTGGAGGGTGTGCTCCAATTACAGGGGCATCACTTGGCCTCCTTAGTAAGGTCTCTTCAGGGATATTGGAGAAGTGAGAATTGCTATGGGCTGTTCGGTCCCTATAGAAGCTGTGTGAGAGTTTGGTTCGTATTGCCGGCATTTGACCCCTTCAGGGTGGGAGTTGGACTCCACCAGGGCTACACTTTGTCTCCGATTTTGTTCATAACTTTTATGGACAGAATTTCTTGGTGCAGCCAGTGGGTGGAGGGAGTCAGGTTTTGTGGCCTCAGAATTCCTTCTCTGCTATTTGCTGATGATGTGGTTCCTGTTCCTGGTCCACGGTTTCTGTGACCTATTTCTTGTCTTTCATTATCTTCATTCATTAGCTATTCAAAGTGCTCCTTCCATCTTCCGTCACATTCTCCTCACTTGTTAGAACATAACCATTTCTATCTTTAACAAGCCTAACCAGCTTCATATCCTTTCCAGCCTCATCCCTCTGTCTCACCAATAGGTACAAGTCCTTCTCGCCCTCTTAAGTGTCCAGCCTCCCATACAACTCATCATACACCTGCTTTGCTCTAGCTATTGCCCTCCTTGCTCTACATTGCATCTCCTTATAGTCCTGGCCACGCTCTCCCTGCCACAACCTTACAGTCCCCAATCTCCCTCTGGTTTCCTCTTCTACACAGAATGTAGTCGACCTGCGTACTCCTTTCTCCACTCTTATAGGTCACTCAATGTTCCGTCATCGTTTGGAAATAGGTGTTGACTACAGCCATTTCCATTCTCTTGGCAAAATCCACCACCGTCTGTCCTTCCTGGTTTCTTTCCTGGACACCAAACGTGCCCATCACTTCCTCATCCCCTCTGTTTCCTTCACCAACATGTCCATTCAGGTCTCCTCCGATAACCACTCTCCTCCCTGGGAACACCATCACTTCATCCAGATCTTTCCAAAATGTATCTCTCTTCCACATCACATCCAACCTGTGGAGTATAACCACTGACGATGTTTAGCATCAGACCTCCTACTTCTACCTTCAGGCACATCACCCTATCTGACACACTCTTCACCTCTACTACATTCTTTGCCAACTCCTTTTTCAGGACCACCCCTACTCCATTTCTCTTTCTATCCACACCATGGTAAAACAGTTTGAAACCTGCTCTAATGTTGCGAGCCTTGCTGCCCTTCCACTTGGTCTCTTGGAAACATAAAACATCTACCTTCCTTCTCAGCATCATGTCAGCCAGCTCTTTACCTTTGTCTGTCATTGTCCCCACATTTAGAATTGCAACCCTCAGTTCGACATTCTTGACTTTTCTCTTCTCCCTCTGTCACCTGACATGTTTCCCTCCTCGTGGTCTTAGACTAACAGCAAGTTGAGGAGAGTGAGGTGTACAGAAGCTATGCTGGTGGTTCTGCATGAGATGGGTTAAGGTAGTTTTCTGAGATGGAGTGCAGAGTGGTGCTGATGATCTCGCTAGCTGTATTTTATGATGCAATGGAGACTTACAGCAGGAAACCAGCCACTAGGGGCACCAGCCAGTGTATCTCTGGTGCCAGTCCCAAGCCCGGGTAAATGGTGAGGGTTGTGTCAGGAAGGGCATCTGACATAAAACACATTTGCCAAAACCATAATGCGAGTTCATCAAAGTGAAACCATACCGGATCGATGGAGGCCCAGATTAACAATGACTGCCACAAACAGGGGGCCGACAGAAATTGTGCTACTGCCTTTAGGGAAAAGGCACAAGAGCCTCTGGGCATGCTCCACAAGACTGCTGAACAGTTTCATGCATCATGCTGTCAGGATGCTGGACTTTGTGCTACACCTACACCCTCTACCATTGATTCTGCACCGTGACTGAAAAAAAAACTGGTATTCCCAACTCTTCTTGTATATAATGAATATTTTTATCGTACTTTTTAGCTTCTTTAAAACTATTTCAATTCTTAAAAGTTGAGAGAGAGAAACAGTATTGTAGTTATGTTTGTCCTGAACATATGGCAGAAATCATCAATAAAGAATCTTTGATTGAAAAACTCGTCCTCTAGTGGGAAATGCATATTTACCCCCTTGGTCCTAAGGGTGCAGCTAGTTTACCTTTGATGGTCAAACCCAGAGTTTATGGCCATGTGTAAAGAGAAGCAGACTGTCCTTGTGATGTAAATCCTTGTTGAATCAACAAAAAATTATATTTGTTTGAAATCAGAAGGCCTGTTAAAGCTTGGCTCAGGTAGGCAGCCAATAAGCATTCAGAACTTCTTGAATCTCCACTGAGAACCAGGGACCATAGATCTGAGTGACGCAAACCACCTGTCATACACTCAGAGCAGTTGGCCCAAGTCCTTACACCAAGTGGGTAAGAACCACCTGACATACACTCGGAGCAGTTGGCACAACTCCTTACACCAAGTGGGCACGTCCTTACACCAACTGGGCATGAACTACCCATCATACACTTGTGGTTGACACAACTCCTTACACAAGTGGGCACAAACTACCCATCATACACTTGTGGTTGGCACAACTCTTACACCAAGTGGGCACGAACCACCCATCATACAGTTGTGGTTGGCACACCTTACACAAAGTGGGCACGAACCACCCATCATACACTTGTTGGCACGTCTTAAACCAAGTGGGCACATACCACCCATCATACACTTGTGGTTGGCATAACTCCTTACACCAAGTGGGCACGAACCACCCATCATACACTTGTGGCTGGCACAACTCCTTACACCAAGTGGGCACAAACTACCCATCATACACTTGTGGTTGGCACGTCTTAAACCAAGTGGGCACGTACCACCCATCATACAATTGTGGTTGGCACAACTCCTTACACCAAGTGGGCACGAACTACCCATCATACACTCGGGGCAGCGTGGTTGGCACCGGTTCGGTCCACTCAGTCCTGCTGCAGTCCCCCCTCCCTGGCACAGAGGACTCATCGACCCGCCTGGTTCCAGACGGACGGAGAAATGAGATCGTCCTTCGTCCTCCACATTCACCGCACGAACGTGAGCGCGTGACGTCTGTTCCTTTGCGGAAACGCAAACACATAGAACCCATTCGGTGTTTTGTGCCGACCTGCGGCTCGGTGTCGGACGGTCCCACCTGCAGGGAGCATGGCAGAGAGGAGCGGCCGCCTGAGCTTCCCCGGCGGCGGGGCTCCGAACCCCCCGCTGCCCATGAACCTGTTCGCAACGTGGGAGGTGGACGGGTCCTCCCCGAACTGCGTCCCGAGGTAAGACATGGCGCACCTTCCGTCGGTTTAAACTTTAAACCACTGCGGTGATGACGTCACAACAGCGCCAGTCAGCTGGCTGTGCAGAACCGCAAAAGGGCCCCGCCGGGGTTCTGATGGGCCGTGATGGTCCAGTCCGGGACTCCCACCCGGAGTCTCATCAGACCAGCTGGGTCACGGTCTGAGCCTGAGCTCAGGTCCACATCTGGATCAGGTGTTGTCCGGTCCCTATGTGAGGTTCTCCTGGAGCTGCAGAAGCAGATTATAAATCACGATCACCCGCTGCTGAGAGGGGAAGGCGGGCGATAATGTTTCTGCCACTGTCTGTTAGCAAAATATCTCATGAGCTATTTAAGGAACTGGAATGAAAGAAAAGTAATGACTGGAGAAATATCTTCAGCAGTTTGGAGTCCAAAGATTAAACATGGCCGCCGCAGCCAGCTGCTGTATTCAAGGTGATGTGACCAAATCTCGCCTAAAGTTTAGCTCGTTGGTACCCAAGACTAACTGAGCGCTAAGAAATCTGCAATATTTTTGTTTAAGTTTTTCAGTTGGCTCTTTGAAGTAAACCCTGTGTGCATGTTAGTAAAATATCTCATGAACCCCTGAATGCAACGCTCAGAGGATGGTCTGATGGAAAAACTCCAACTCCTTCTCTCCATCGGCTGATCCAAGTGTAGGTCTGTGGTGTCAGAGGAGGTGGGAGATACGCATTCCACCAAGAAACACTAGATTTTTATTTTTTGTACCAAGAGTTAGGGTTAGTTATAATTTTTATTTTGTACCTAGAGTTAGTTAAAGTTGTAATGTTTATTTTGTACCTAGAGTTAGGGTTGGTTATAAAGTTCTGTTTATTTTGTACCTAGAATTAGTTAAAGTGGGCACTTTGTTTTAATGCTTCTTTTGTACCTAGAGTTAGGTAAAGTGTTAATGTTTATTTTGTACCTAGAGTTAGGGTTAGTTATAAAGTTCTGTTTACTTTGTACCTAGAATTAGTTATAAAGTTATAATGTTTATTTTGTACCTAGAGTTAGGGTTGGTTATAAAGTTCTGTTTACTTTGTACCTAGAATTAGTTATAAAGTTATAATGTTTATTTTGTACCTAGAGTTAGGGTTATAGTTATAAAATTATCTTTATTTTGTACCTAGAATTAGTTAAAGTGGGCACTTTGTTTTAATGCTTATTTTGT